TTATATAATTTTATAATAATTTTAATAACATTTTATTAAATTTTTATTTAATATTAGGCCATATGTAAACATACAAAAATGAAATTATGCTGGTTGACACTTGGAACTGCTATTTATAAATATAGTCAAGAACATTCTGAAGTAATATGATTTTATTCTTAATATTTATAACTTGGTAATGAGAGTTTCTTAAATAAAATTTTGCTATTTTTAGATTCCTCAACCAGTTACAGAAGCTGTAGCACATTTGTCATCATATATTAGCACTGACTGTATTATTGATGATATAACATTTCCTTCAGAATATACTACAACTGATGATAAAATTGAATATCTTCTTACAATTATAAAGGTACGTAATAAAAGTAATTGATTTTTAAAATTTTTTGGTATTTACTATGAATATATTGCATGATCCTGTTTTTGTCATTTTGATTTGCATTATTCTTGAATTATGTCATTGGAAAGACAATAGCAGGTATAGAATAAAGGAAGTAGAGAAACTAGAATTGTTAATACGGTATATAAAAAATTTGTACAGATGATTGAAAACTGGGGTCCATTCTTTTAATTTTAGATCCTTAAAATTTTTTCTTTAATTTCCAAGTTTTAATAACACTATTTATAATCTTTATTTTTCAAATTAATTATTAGTTAAAGATGAATATTCTCTTCTGTTAATTGATCAATTTATTGGTTAAAATAAAAATAGTACAATTGAAACATTTGTCACATCAATTATTAATTTTAATAATTATATATATTGAGACCACAAAATGTTTGCCTGATATAAAAACATATAATCATAAACAAAAGATGGCATAATTTGTCAAATTTAATGAATCTTTGCTTATTAATAGACACACATCTAAGATGTCAAAGCTATATTAAAGAACAGCATGAATTAACAGTACAACATTGTCAATGTTTTCTGGCTAGATTTTCAAATTTTATTCAATTTGATCTCAAAATTGGAGATTCCATTTCAAAACAATTCAGGTGATACTGTATGGAACTGGTGTTGTAAAATTTGACAATCAAAGCTTATTACATTATGTTGCATTACATTACATTACATTGATCGTTATTATGCTACATTGCGTTTATAAAACAAACAAAGATACTTCATGGTTTCAAAACATGGAAGAAAAACCAAAGCTATTAGAGCATATTTATTAGGACTTGCTTTTATTTTGTGGAATGATATGAATTTTATTATCTAGAGAGCTCTGATGTTTTGGACTATCTTCTGATCAGTAATATTTCTTATGAATAAATATTTACAGTTTCAAGATGTGTTTTGTCATTTTATATATGATGACAAATTACACACAAATTACCTGTAATAAAATGGCATAATATTCACAATGCAACAGTAAATGTTATACAGAAACATTCTTGTAAAATAAGTTTGAACTTAACAGGAAATGTTTGGATCATCTTGTAGATTTTAATATATTGCATTATTTTATGAAATTTTTATACAGATAAACATTTTCTTGATTTTTTCTTTTCTTTATATGATAGAGTAGTGTAAACATGTGTATCTAAATTGAAATTTTTTATATATTATTTGATTGAGAATTTATATATTATTGTGAAATTATCAATTTCTTGCATATTACAATTGTTATGTGCAATTTATCATAAAGAGACTGATAGTCTAGTATTTTATTTCTATTGTAAAATATATTATTTTAACAAAATAAAGTAGATTATTGGTATTATAGAGTATATAATGTGTTTGTAATTTGCACAAATTACAAACACATTATATACTCTATAATACCAATAATCTACTTCATTTTAGAAATAATAATCTACTTCGTTTCAGAAATAATTGTTGGTGTTTGGGCTATACATTGTCAATTTATTTATTTATTATTTTTTGGATAGTTTTGATTGGCAGCACTGCTGGGACAATGAGAGGGTATTTAAGGTGTGTGGACTGGCAACTCGCTCTCTCTCTCTCTCTCTCTCGCTTGGACTCTATGGTTGGTGCTCTGGTCTCCTTCATGTTGCTCAGGAATTTACACATTTCTTTTATGAATGTGTCGTGTTCTCAGGAACTGTTCATTGTGTTAAATTGCTAAGGTAATTTCGGAGCTAAATCCATTCGCATCGAGGAAATTACCTGCTTGGTACATTAGATTTAGTGTTTAGGTTAATGAATTGTTGGTGAATAATATTGCCTGACGAGTATTACAGAGATCCATGTGTTGAATTGTTGAAAGGACTTTTGTGTTAACTACCACATGTAGCCTAATTGTGCAATTTGTAAATATATTCTGTATATATGTTTTGTATATAAACTTAGTTTTATGTGATATTTCGTTGTCTTCCATTGTTTGTGATAATCACACTTCTACATACCCACAATCATCCTCTTATGGATCTTTGTGAATCCCACAAGTTCATAATCATTTATTTTACATTGCCATAATGATTGAGACAACTAATTTACATTTTAGTTTATTAAGTGCACTTATTTTACAATATATTGGATTATGAAAATTTTGAATTAAAGATCACTTATTATACAGATATCCCTTGTACAACATGGTTTTACTCTAACATGGTTTGAAAATTGGGGATATCCCCATACAACACGATTTTTGTTTTTCTCTAACACAATTTTGGAAATTCTCCATACAAAACTTCACAACTTTCAAGTGTAAACTTTGTTATTTGATATATTTTTTTATTCAAGTAAGCATGCATATTGTCTCAAATTTGCCCATGGAGTTTAGAATATTGAAATTTTCAAATTATTTTGTGCTTTTCCTCAGGTTTGTTTTAATGAAAACTGATAGTGCAATTTGTTTTCTTCCTTGTCCTGACTTTCCTATCAACTAGGTGACATTGTTACTTTCAGACTTTAGCTCTTAAGACTGTCACTGTATTTTCTTTTTATAGATTAATCTTTGTATTTAGTAAAATTTATTTAAACGTTTTTAGGTAAGTGTTATTAAATTTTTTTTAACCATATTTTTATTTTATCATCCATAAACATTTTTTATGATAAAAATAAAAATTATGAAAATGTTGCTGATACTTCTGATCAAGATCAACAAAAAAAGTTGAGGTGATGAAAATATTATGTAAAATGAAAATGCCCTCATTTAACTAAAATTAATATTAATGTGTAATACAGTGTTTTTAATTGTGATTGTTAATTAATTATTTATTGAAAATAAATTATTGATTGCTTTAATAAACATATTTCTCTTAGTAACGTAGATAAAGAATAGTATACTTTTGCTAATTTCTGAAATCTAACCCTATGTTTTGTATTAGTTCTTTGTTTCGTATAACATGGATTTGCATAATATGACACTTTTCAGAATGTAACTACCAAACATATTATACTAGTAATACCTGTATTTGTTATTACAAATTTATAAATAGATAAAAAAATGTTTTCAATATCAAATTTTTCAGACAATTGGAAATATTGGTGATATTGCTAGACTTTCCCATAATGATATCATCAGGCAATTGTATTCATGTGCAATTTCTAAGGAGTCAACTACAGAAATTGCTGTTGCTGCTATAAAGGTAAACATTTTTAAGTATATAATAAAAAAAAATATTTTTTATTATTTTATATTTGTGTTAAAACATAAAAGCCTTTAAGCTTGAAAAGCATAAAAGTCTTCAATACCAAATTATTTTTACTTTTTATACTAATAATTTAAAAACTTATGAGTTTGCTATAATTTATAAAATTCATATAATGAACCTTATTCTTATTAACAATTTACTGATATTAAGTTAAAAATGCTTATCTCATTTAATAATAGTATTCTTTCTGGACTCTATTTAGAATTTCATATTTTATTTTCTCAAAAATATTGTTATTAAATTTTTTCCAAATAGTTTTTTGCTAAATTATAGATATTTTATAAGAAGGAAAATTCAGATTGTTATTTGTAGTATGTAACACAGATAAATAATAGATAATAATAGTTATCAGAAGAATACAAAACTTAAATAGTTAAATTTATTAAAGTTCTATTTTCCTCTTACATTTGCATTCATTATATTTTTTTTTGTTATATATAAATAATAAAATATATAAAATTTTAAATTTTTTTACTGTTATTGGTATTGTTAGGACTTGAATTTAGAAAATTATATTAATTTATTGTATTCTTAATAGCTGATTATTATGAATATTTAAATTTTATAAACACTTTTACATTCTTAGGCAATGTTTAAAATGAAGCCAACTAATTATATACATAAAAAACTTATTTATTTAATGAAAGATAATACACAATCAGTTGCAGTTAGACTTGCTGCATATGATATTTTAGTTCATCTATTCAGTGATGATGAATTAGCTCAGGACATAGCTATACTACTTAGAGAAGAGAAGAGCAGTCAAATTAAATGTTATATAGCATCAGATATTCAAAAATTGGAAGAAAACTATGGATCAAATAGGAGAAGGTTAGTTGTTACAGAAAAATACAATTTAAATTTAATATATTAAGTTTAGTATTTTTAAGTTTTTTACTATTATAATTTTAAAACTATTTAAAAATCATTATTAAATATGACCTATTGAGAATAATATCATTTTTATAGTTATATTATAATTGTACTTGGTTCACATTTATTTTAAGAAATATTAAAGAGAAATTATTATTTTAGTACAGTGGTACCTCGGTATACGTCTGCTTTAGAATATGTCCAATTTGGAATACGTCCTGTTTGGACAAAACAAATTTTGCTCGGTATACAACTTAATTTAATTCAATTATACACGCCATCTATGAACAAGTAGCACTATCGGTGTAGTAGGCCAGACTAAACGTTTGCAGGTGCCACGATTTATAACTTTGTTAAATTTCTTCTGATTTTAATTTGTAAGTAAAATTTAATTAGTTTTATTAATGATGAATTGCAAAAACGCAAATGAAAAGCAACAGAAAACTAAAAAATTGACTAGAATCACAATGGAACTGAAAAAAGAGATTGTTGAGAAATATGAAAGCGGTGTGCGTGTTGAGATTTAACTGTTGCATACCGTATTTTGAGAACGACGATATCGACAATCGTGAAAAATAAAGACATTATTAAATCTGCTAACATTGCAAAAGGGGTTAAATCAATTTCTAAACAGAGATCAAGAATATTAGATCATGTGAGAAATTGCTTTTGCTTTGGATAACTGAAAAACAGTGTGCTGGCGACAGCATATCAGAACTGACATTAAAAATCACTTGAAATGTGCGAAACATAAGGCAAACCTAGTAGCAACAGAAGCAATTATTTGAGAGAAAGTTAAAAAGATACATGCTGATCTCATGAAGAATCAACCAGGAACTAGCCAGGATAGCAAGGTATTTAAAGCCAGCCATTTTTTTTTTTACATGAGAATGGATTAATCGTTTTTACATTACTTCTTATGGGAAAGGTTGGTTTGGTATACGTCCTATTCGGTATAAGTCCAAACATCAGGAATGGATTAAGGTCGTATACCGAGGTTCCACTATATTTATTTATGTAACATGTGAATCACATTTCATGAAGTATGTTGAACAGATGTGTGAAATGAAAATGGATATAAACATATTTAAATTTCCAAACATTACTATTAATGATTAATCTACTAAATCCAAAAAAACTACAATGATATTTGATTAATTAATTAAAGTGTATTAGTTTTAAAACTAGTAAACTTAAAAATATGTTTAATTGGAGCTCAATGACTTACATTAAGTATCATTTTCTAAAATACTTTCAGGCAATCAATCCATTATCAGGAGAAACTACACTACTGTTTCTTCTTCTGACGGATTTGTTTGCCTGAAAGTATTTTAGAAAATGATACTTAATGAGCTCCAATTAAGCAAATTTTAAACTTTGTGATTCTTTATATCACTGAAGCTAAATAAATATTATAACTTTACTGCATATGATAATTTCTATAAACAAATTTTAAATATTCTAAAAAAGTCTGTAAATATATTAGTTGCTTAGTGACTTGAATTACTGAGCAACTAATTTATCTATAGACCTCAACAACAATGACATATTCACTGTTTAATTTCTTGAACATATAATAAATTTGTCAATTTGATCTGAACTGATCAAAATTGCCCATATTTCAAATTGCTCATATTTCAGAAAAATAAAAGCTAATATTTTGCGTGTTGTATTTAAATTTAAATGGTATGTTCTCTTATTGACCTCTGTTAAGCAAATATAAAGTACAATATTTTCTTCATAGTTAAAGAATGTTACAGATAAGTTTTTTAAATTTAATGAAATAAATTATTTCTTAAGTTGTCTTATTATGTTAATATTTTCAGTTTGCAAAATTTATATTTCATTTGGGAATGTCATTTGCAATAATGATAATCCCAAATGATTGGTTTATTTTGTTATAGTTATAAATGCAGATATACATTTTATGATGATTATAATATATTTTTTTATGAGAGGCATATTTTTTCCCTACCATATAGGAATTGATACTTTTGTATATGTAATTTGAAATTACATGAAAAAACTTATCAAATCACAAGATAAAATTTAATGAGTGGATTTTGTAAAACCTTCATAATATACAAAAATTATGATAAATTAATCAAAACGTTTTTTTACTGATTTATAGTAAATTTTAACTTTCTATATCAAATATACATAGAACTTTTATAAATTAACTTAAATATAAATAAAGTTTTAACTATTTATCTTTATTAATTCATAATTTATTGAATTAATTTATAGATTATTAAGTAATATGATATATTTTAGCAAGATTGGTATTTTAATGATTGATGTATTGTATATTATGCCACTTATTAATTATAAAGTCACATTGAATTTTTCATTATATTGAAAAGAATTTAATGAATTTCTGGTGGATGGACATAGAAAATAGTTTTCCTACATATGTTTTTCTTTACTAACAGTTTTTCATGTGAATTCAAAATCCTAAATTTATCAGAATAGAATGTAAATATCAATTTTGTAGATGTACTAAATTAAAATTGTAAAATCATGTTAACAAGTTTAAGTGTAAACTTTAAAATAAAATAGTACCTTGTTTTTAAAACAGTTTCAAATCACTTAACCTATTGATTATAAATTAAACACAAAAATTATTTAGTTATTATGATGGCATCACAATGCTGAGCTGCAAATTTTAACTTAAAAAATCTACTTTAGGAATGAATCAAAATAGAAATTATTTAAATTTTTAAAATGTAAGATCATGTAAGTATTGTACACCTTAGTGGGTCAAATGATATAGTATTGATCTCAGTTATTGTAAGGATCAGTTTTATACCAAATTTAATGCTCTGTGTAGTAGGATAAAAATTTTGATTGGAAATTACCTCACTTTTGGTTCAGACTGGAACCAAGTCAGGTGATTTTCGTATCCCATTTCAATTTTCATCTGTCTACTTTGTTCTCAAGATTAATGATGGATGGGCAGACAGCAGACAGATAACAGTGGGAATGTATAGGTTTGTAATTTGAAAAATGTGGCCCAAATATAAAAACTAATTTAGCCTAAAATTTTTAAGTTAAACATACAATTAAATTCTACTAGACTTTTCCAGGCTGTTGTAAGACAAATAATTTTGCAATAAATTAATTTATAAATTATTACAAATAATAGTATACTTGCTTACTGGAGAATAAAATCAATAAAAATAAAAACCATTTAACTATCCAGCAAAATTCTTTAATAACTTAAAAACGTTTTCAAACGCATTAAGCGTTCATCTTCAGTTAATTCTATAAATTCGAAATGTGAAATTTGAAAAATTACGCAACGGGAATTCCAATTAACGGTTATGTAAAAAAATAAAAAATAAAAATGTAACGTGTTACAAACGAAAGTGCTATATATAAATTTTCGTGTACTTAATAAACAATAATAATAATAACAAATAAACAAATAAATAAAATATCTATCATCGATCATCCTAAGCCTGATTAAGCCTTTTATATAGATTATGCCAATTCGTCGCAAAAAGATTTCCAAGCGGACGAAAGCCCGTCGGCATCTCTATAGTTGATACACTGTGCTGTCTTCTGTGCCCTGTGGATTTCCAGCTTTTCGAGATGTTTTATCGCGTGTTTAGATGTAGTGGCTTTTATTATAGAGGCCTGGTCCCAGAAAACAGTAATGCCTTGTTGTTTAGCATAAGTGGCAAGGATCGTGCTGTCAATTGTTTTGTTCACTGAAAGCTTATGTTCATGGATTCTTTTTTTCAAATTCCTCAATGTTGCGCCTATATATACTAAGTTAGAGTTGAACCTGCTGTCTCTTAGCGGTATCGAGTATATTCCTGTTAAGGAGTTGCTTTCATAATCCCCCTTGTCATTCCTTAACATTTTGTATATAGTGGGATTACGCCGATAAACTATCTGTAAGTTCTTACTTTTGGTAATCTTCTTAATAATCGGTTTAAGGAAGGGTATATAATCGAGGACCATTTTTTCTTTTTGGTGGTTTTGCTTTTGCCTCCTTGCAAGATTATTATCTTTCTTAATGAGAGCCTCTATTCTTCTTCTCCCGTAGCCATGCTGCATGGCAGTTCTTCGTATATATTGTATCTCCTTAACAGTATCGCAAACATTTGTGCAATGGGTGTGCGCTCTCCTTATCCAAGATCGAAATACCGCCATTTTAATATGCTCCGGATCCACTGAATTCTTAGGAATAATGATGGGTATAGATGTCGGTTTACGATAAATATTGGTTCGGATTTCCCCTTTCATGCATGTTATCGTCAGATCTAAGAAATTAACGCTACTGCTCCCTTGTTGCTCCAATTCCAAGGTTAAACCATACGGGTTACTGTTTATCCGATCTACAAAATGCTTGATGTTGCGATTATCCTTCCACAATATAAATACATCATCAACATATCTCGCATATATCAATATATCTTGTTGTAAGGAAGGGATGATACTGTTTTCTAGATTACGAAGCACTAATTCGCATAGGACCGACGACATGGGGCTACCCATCGGTACTCCCCGCCCTTGTAGATAAGTATTATTTTCGAATTCAAAAAAAGATGTGTGACAAATCAAGTCTGCCAATTCCAAAATCTGCTTGTGGTATTTGGTAGCGTTAATAACATTAGCGAATAGAAAATCCCTCAGAGCACAAAAGCATGGAGGCAGTTTGATTGATGGGTATAACGCCTTATAATCTAACACTGTCATCCATTCCTCATTCATGAGAGCAACATTTTCCAGTTTCCGGATCAAGTCCACCGAGTTTTTTATCGAAAAAGGCGAAACTTGCATTTTTCCTTGTATAAATTTAACAAGTTGTTTTTCTATTCTGAAAGTTGGAGCATTACATTTTTCTACCACAGGCCGTAACTGCGATCCAGGTTTGTGTGTTTTTCCGAAGGCAAAAATTCTTGGTGTCCTAGGCGCTTGTAAAGTAGCAGACCTCATACCCAGATAATTGGCCAAAGGAGTTAGGGTAAATTTTCTCACTCTTTGCTGTAAGGATTCCAGGTAATTACTCGGGGCAGGAAGACATTCGGTGCTGTCGATGTAGTCATGCAGTTTTTGTCTATACGAACTCCGTTTGATGAGTACAACACCTTTTGATTTATCCGCCTTTATGAGAACAATGTCGTTTTTTTGGAGCCATTCTTTCGTTTCTTTAATGTGCCTTTGGAAAAGTAAAGCAGTTTTATTAGAATATCTCTCCTTCTCGGCATATAATCTTGTTTTCCATCTGCAATAATCTTGCGCAGTTAAATTCATATCCTTTATGAGCGTCTCAACGTTCGATATTAGGCTTTCTGGACGCAACGGTGGTATCGGTGCAAAGGAAGGGCCGTATTCCAAGGCGTTTATCAAGCATTGGGGAGGAATGATGTTGTCCCAAGCTGTTAAAAATGCTTCTCATTTCACCCGTGGTTTAACATTTTGGCACCTAAACAGCCATTTTAGCTTTTTAATGTATGTGCGTTTTAACCTCTTTTCCAAAGAATGTTCCAACGCGATCACTCTACTGTTAACTTCTTCTAGCATAACTTGCTCCTCTTCATACAGATTATTTTCTAACTTTATGATACCACGCAGTATTCCGTAAAATGCGTTTGAAAACATTTTTAAGTTATTAAAGAATTTTGCTGGATAGTTAAATGGTTTTTATTTTTATTACAAATAATATAAATATCTACTTGCTGGAATTTCACTCTGTTGATGTTTGCTACTTGAAATTGTTAATTCAATTAAAAATTTATTTAAATTGCAATACTATTATGTTATATTTTAATATACTTTCAGCCAAATTTGTTAAAATTAATAATACATTAATTAATTTATAACTTTGGTATAGCTCAGAAAAATTCAATGCCAATTGATTAATAAATCCAAAAGTTATTGAAAGAAAACAACAACAAAAGAGTTAATAGAGTTATTTTGAAAATGTCTGTTTGATCCATTATCACACTTAAAAAATGATTTAATGTACAGTACTTTGCAACACAAAAAAAGCAGGGTTACACAAAATTAGGGTTTTCTCAAGTACCAAGCCTGAACTTAACAGGAAAGCAAAATACAATGATTGAAAAATGACACTTATATTAGCAAAAATCCACAATAATATTTATTAGGTTTTACAATAAAAAAAAAATATATATATATATACATATTACTGTAAAACAACAATGATTATAAACAAGAAGCTAGTAATAAATATATATATTTCAATTATTCAAAAACTAGTCAAGATCAATTATGTACAAGCAAAAATACAAACAATCAATAAAAGAAGTTTTTTTTAGCTTGGGACATATGATTAATTAAATTTCTATCAATATCAAATAAAAAGCAAAGAATACACCTCTTAAGAGTTAATCGCTTTATCAAAAGAATGCCAGACAATTTGGTTAAAGGAAAGTCACTTTGGGAGCTATACCACACCATTGAACAGGTGTGTCAGCTTTTATCTGCTTACAAGTGTAATTTCACACTATATTATTTACATATTTGATTGCTATGGGGTCAGTCACTTATGTAAATAAATATTCATTGATCTTAATTTTGAATTTAGTATATCTTGGGAGTTTCCATCCTTAAAACAAAAATGTCTCTGAAAAGAAAACAATAATTAAAAATAAAATAATGATTGGACTCTAACTCCTTACAATAATGTTAAACTTTTTTGTTCAGATGTTTTCCTCTGAAGTCTGAATAATCCACTTCTTTTTTAAATTTTTAGAAAAACGGTCGAAATATGGATATATCTATAGTATGACATATATTTCAATCTATATTTAAGTATAAAGAACAATTTAGTAGTACAAATAGTAGTGTATATCTCAGTATTTATTTATTTATTTAAAATTTTGTTCTTATTGAAATTTTTTAGAGGGAGAGAGAGTATATTTGTATTTACATTTTGTGTTTGTTAATATTAATTTTGAAAGTATCAATTTTGCTTGCTTCTATGTAATTTCATTGTTAAAACATATTTGTTATTCATTTTTATCACTAATATAATTAAATTCCAAGTTAAGAAGCAGAATTAATTTTTAATAAAGTTTAGATTCTTCATAAATTGTTTTTATGCAACAGTCTTTATTTTTTCATTATATTTTTTTTTGTTATATATAAATAATAAAATATATAAAATTTTTAAATTTTTTTACTGTTATTGGTATTGTTAGGACTTGAATTTAGAAAATTATATTAATTTATTGTATTCTTAATAGCTGATTATTATGAATATTTAAATTTTATAAACACTTTTACATTCTTAGGCAATGTTTAAAATGAAGCCAACTAATTATATACATAAAAAACTTATTTATTTAATGAAAGATAATACACAATCAGTTGCAGTTAGACTTGCTGCATATGATATTTTAGTTCATCTATTCAGTGATGATGAATTAGCTCAGGACATAGCTATACTACTTAGAGAAGAGAAGAGCAGTCAAATTAAATGTTATATAGCATCAGATATTCAAAAATTGGAAGAAAACTATGGATCAAATAGGAGAAGGTTAGTTGTTACAGAAAAATACAATTTAAATTTAATATATTAAGTTTAGTATTTTTAAGTTTTTTACTATTATAATTTTAAAACTATTTAAAAATCATTATTAAATATGACCTATTGAGAATAATATCATTTTTATAGTTATATTATAATTGTACTTGGTTCACATTTATTTTAAGAAATATTAAAGAGAAATTATTATTTTAGTACAGTGGTACCTCGGTATACGTCTGNTTATATCACTGAAGCTAAATAAATATTATAACTTATTTGAATATGGAATATCACTCAAAAGTAAGTTAATATTAAATTATATATTACTTTTGATTAAAATATGAAGTATTTAGTTTTAAAACTTTTCTATTTTGCAATAGATTGGGAAGAATTTGGAATTTGGTTAAGGAGACAGCTTGCTGATATAGATATAAATTATGCACGCTGGTTGGTAAACAATTTTGTTGAAATTGTCCAGAAATTAGGCATAAAAGGACTTATTCCTATAGTATCTAGTTATGGGAGTGAGAGATTATCTTTTGTGTATCCTGACCAAAAAGTTGCAGAAAATTTAAGGAAATTGGTCATACAATTTCTTGAAGTGAATGCAAAACAAAAACCATCATTAGAAATATATTTCAAGATGTTTGGTGAGTAAACTTAAAATGTCATTTATGTGTTATGTTTCTTTGTAATAAATATTGTATTGTAAAATATTAAAAAAAATATAAAGTTTATAATTGTCTAATTATAATAAATACATATATAGCTGTTCACTAATTCAGATATCATAAGAGAAAGTTAAAATCCAAAAAAATCACTATTCATACTTGTGTATTACACTTGACAAATGAGAGAATTTTTCAGTAGGGAGAGAGATAGAATGTTTTCATGTTATATTTCAATAAAGCATTTTTGCTTTTTTATTTCAATTGCTACTAAACAACAAATTAATATATAGACATTGTTACATACCTAAATAGAATCATCTGATTATTGCAAAACTTGACATATGATTATATCTTGGATAGAAATGTAAATGATTACAATTGTGGTTTGATTGTACACCAGGTATTACCACCAGAATGCCTTTAAATTTTTATTCCAGTAAGCATACTGGAATAGCAACTTTTGGCTATAAAAAGCTTGAAAGGGTTACCATGTTCAGAATTTTCTGTGTTCCTGTTGTTTGGAGGTTTTTGAACACAACATCTAGCTGTGCAAAACAAACAAATACATTATGCACAACTGATGGGGTTTGAAAAAGGCTGCATTATTGGGCTGAGAAAAATAGGATGATTGTTTTTCTGAATTGCTCACCATCTGTGCTGTGTCCTGTCAGAGTTGATTTTTATGTATATTGGAAAGGATTGGCCAATTACAATGAGTAAGAATAATTTCTCATTGTCAGATTTGAATAGCTATAAAAATACATGTATCTATTGTGTACAGTACCCATTTCTATTCCTAATTTTTATAGTATGGTATAAAAATAAAAAATATATTGGGAGGGGAAAATTTACCAATACAAAGAATTGGGGGATTTGTCCTACCTGTCCCTTATAGATTAATGCCCATACTGTGCCAAAAACTTATATATGAAACTCAAACTGATAAATTTTAAAGTTTAGAATGTCAAAATTTCAAAACCAATAAAATATTGACTTTTATTGACAATGTTGAATATCAATATTTGTTGACAGTGATAAATAACAGTAATTTACTAATAGATAATAGCTCAGTTAATGACATGTGTATCAAATGCACCTTTTGCTCTTTGTGTTAGAATAGTTTTTCTGTATTTAATTGCATTTGTAATGACTATATATGCATGTAACAGCAATAGAGAAAATTGTTTACAGTTTATCAGCTGTGTAACTGAAGATCTAAACACAATTTTGAAACTGTTGAGAGAGCTGCAAAACCCTCAGAATGTATATAATCTCCTGACAGATGGAGAAATTATTATGTAGAAAAAAAAATTGTCGGTATTGAAAGAAAATCATTTACTTGTTAGTCTTACTTTCTTTGACAGCTGAATGACTGAGTGGTTAAATCATATTTCTACTACTCTTGGGACTTGGATTGAATTCAAATGGGCAAAAAGCCCGGAAACTTTTATTGGTGATCTATCTTAGACATGTCAAGACTTGTGTAAGTTGCCAGCTGACACCATTTTGTAATAAAATATAAAACAATCTGTCCCTCACCACTTGGACATCCCTATTTGGGCCATTGTAAACATTTAAAGTTAAATTTTCCTCAATTTTTTAAGACAAAAAAACATGTGCAACAAATATATGTACTATGTATTGTGAATCTTGCAATTGATTGGCTTTAATGAGAGCAAAGGCAACCAAATTTTGAATTTGTTGGAGATCTGGGGTGATAGGTGCAGTCACCCCAGATCTTCAACAAATGAGTCTGGTGATTGCACAGAACAATCATAAAGGCATTGATGACAACACAGAATGGTAAATCTGTCATTCTGTGTTCTCTAGCAGCTTTAGTGCTCAGGTGGAAAGATTCAAAAATAAAAAAGCCATACTTTTTCATTTCAATTTCGATTTAGGAATTATATGATTTCTGAAATAAATACAATTAATTAAAACTATGGCAAAAAGTAACAGTATAAAAATAATTGACTAAAAATAATTGCAATTTTGTGTTATAATTTATGTTATTTTTCACTATTTTAAATGTAATGAAAATAATTTGATGCCATTAAGATAATATATTGCTAATTTTTTTTTATTTTCTCAATTACTAAAATGATTAATGTAAAATCCCTTGAAATTATAAAATTATTTTTAACATCAAATGATTATCATTCAAAATATTTTAAATGAAATCAAAGATATAAATAATTGATCAATATTTTTATTGAATATTTTTTAAATTTATTATATGATAAATGAAAATTACAATTCTCATGGACTTTATATTCAATATAATATATTTTTTTACTTTTATTAATAATATTTGATAATAAACTGATTATTTTATATAATTTTCCAGTACTAAAACATCGTTGATAGTTGACAATTATAATATTAGCATCAATATTCAGTATATCCCTAATAATAACTATAAGATTTTTTCTAATGTTATTGTGAATAAATAATACTGTCTACATTACTTTAGATTAGATTAGATACTTTACATTAGATATTTTTATATTTATATAAAAATTATGTTTTCTTTTAAAATTATTATAAAAGTTTATTATCAATTCATTTTATTTTTTAAGGTAATGAACTGGGTTTCGTTTCACTTAACAGTATATTCTCCTATTTTGCCAAGCAGTATCAATGGATGGCTAATCAAGATATTGTGCAATCCTTGCATAAGGGTATAACATATAACATTACACGTCCTTTAAGATTAATTGAAGCTTATCATTTAGTACCAACAATGATGGGATTACCACTCAATTGGACAACTAACTGCACTTATATTATATCTCCTCGTGTAAAAATTGATGCCAATGTTAGTCCAGGAGAACGAACTGAAAATTTTCACATTCTGTATAGGTAAGTAATTTTACATATAAAATTCTCCATATGCTATAGAGATTTAATAAAGCACCAACAACTGCCATATGACATCAGGCTATATAATGGCTATAATAATAATAAATTACTAATAAATTTTATCCTAGAGGGAGACATTAGATGCCATTTCATATTAAATTTAATAATTATAATTAAATTAAATAATTTTAGATTAAACTGAGAGAAAAGAATTGACCCGGAGTGGGACACAAACCTGCTACTGCTTACCATGTGGATGCATTGCCAATTATGCTACCTGGATTTCTGGTTTGATCTACTCTTCCAGTATATATAACAGGCCAGATGGCCGAGTGGTTAAGGTGGCAGCCTATTGCTCTGGGAGACCCAGGATCAAATCTGAATGGGTCATAAACTTCCCAGAATTTTTTGGGGGTGGTCTGTCAGGATATGTCAGGTCCTGTCCCTCATCACCCAGCCGCCCTATTGTGGGTCTGGCTGAACCCATAATAGGCTTGCTAAAAAAGGCTCTAGGGCAGAAAGAGTTAAAAAAAAAAAGTATATATAACAACGTTATATATAACAATTTAATATAACATAATACAATAGAATCCTGCTAGTCTGAACTAATTGGGACTGAGCACTGTTTGGATTAGCCAAATAATTGAAATAATGCAGAAGCAAGCAATAAAAGAGAGAATGATGACAAACCCGGTACTGCGGACCAACTTGTGCCACATTCAGATGCGGCACTAGCCCTTGACTTTATGCTACTTGGAACAACATCCCAGTGCTTCACCTGCAGACTGCATGTTTATGAGGCGGTGGCAAAACATAGCACCTTCTAATCGACTTTCATCATTACATCAAAAGAAACTAACAGACTGTTATTTCTGAAAAATGATTTTTGTTTCTGTTTTTGTGTGTAAGTACTGTATAGATCTGCTGTTTTAATAGGCCATGTCAAACACTGATTTATTAATTTTGTACAGTATTAATACAGTACTAAAATAAAATACAACTTTTTTCTTTTTCTGTGGGATTCTAAATGTTTTTGAACCATTAATACCATTTAAATTTAACTGCAAAAAAAAAATATGTATATTTTGCAAGTTAAAAAATTTTTTCTCTGTTGACTGAAACATGTTTGGATTAGGCAGACATTTGGATTAGTGGTATTCAGACTAGCGGGACTCTACTTGACTTGAAAGTAAAGTTGAGATAGCTGTCCTAGTTGGACTTAGCCATGTGAAAAGGGAAGGTTATAGAGGGATGAGTGAGGGGTAGAGTGGGGAATGGGAGGTAATGGGATAGGGATAGAAGAGGGGAAAAAGAGGTAGAAAGTGGAGGTAGAGTTTGGGATCACAATCCTGATTAGCATTGCACTTACAAAAGAAAACAGTAATTGGTGCAAACAACTTACAGATTGCCTTTCCGGCTAGACATACGGGACTCTACTGTATTGTTATATATACTGGAAGAGGAAATTGGAGTGGAGATCAGGGTAGCATAATTGGCAATGCATCTGCACAGTAAGTTGCAGTTGTGGTTTCTTGTCCCACTTCAGGTTGATTCTTTTCTTCCAATTTAATCAAAAATTATTAATTTAATTATAATTATTAAATTTAGTATGAGGTGGCACCTAATGCCTCTCTCTTTAGTCAAATGTATTAGTAATTTATTATTATTATAGCTGTTATATAGCCTGATGTCATATGACAGTTGTTGGTGTTTTATTATAATGTATTGGGTTTCGTTGAGTTGTTTATAATTGTATAGAGATTTAAAAAATTGAAAACAAATTTAGCCCAGGATAGTGTGCTAAAAGTAATATAATATATATATCTGAAAGAATTTGAATCAAATTTGATGGCAGTGATTGTAATATATTAAATTCATATTTATTTGTTTATTTAATTGATTAAAATTCATAATGTTAATGTGTTAAATGAAAAAAAAACTTTCTTGAAGAATTAAAATAAAAGATAAATATTTTGTTTACTTTGTACTTAACTATATATTAACAGCATAACTACTATTAAATATTTGTAAGAATGTAAGAATTTTTTGTAATGCAGTATAAAAAAAATGAGATAAGTATATAACATGTAATTTGTATGTTTGCAATTGAATTCATACTTCAGAAAAAATATTAGTGAGAAATGCTTCATCAGATATTAGGTTAGATTGTATGATGCATTTCATATTTCTGCTTGTGAATACTGATCATCTGCTATAATAAAAATTTTGTGATCTTATTATATTTATTGTTGATTCAAAAAGCTAGTCTCTGTGGGAAGATAACCATTATACAAATTCATATGAACAATAAGTATCAAATATATAAATTTTATTATATTTATTATTTTACACTTTAAAAGTTGATAAATTTAATTTTAAAAATTTAAATAATAATTTACTTTTTATTTATTTTGTTTTCTAGTGAGGAATTCACTTTACAGAATCGTATGATTCTTGATTTTCCAATGGTGACACAAATTGGAGTTCAAGCAAATACATCCATGCACACTTCTCTTAGTTATGTATTTACTCTTCATCATTCTGATCGTCGTCATTTACATGAAATAATATTTCATAAACCAAAACAAGAACAAAAATATACAGAATTCTAGTAAGTATTATTTGTTTTTGTATAAATAAAAAATATTATGTAAATAAAATATATATATATTAATGTAAAAAAAGTATATATATATATTAATGTGAAAAAAGTATAAATAAATATAAAATACAACAGTATAATGCATAATCTCAAAGAAATAGCTTACTAATAACTTTTTGGGGTTTATCAAGATACAAAAATATATTTAAAAAATAATTAATAAAAGAATAAAATACTACCACGCTGTTTTATTATTATTGTTATCATCATCAGAAAAGGCATTAGCACAGACACTATTATGGCTCATTGCCTCATTCTTTTAACATTGAATCAGTGTTATATAATTACCAGTGCTTAAAAAATATATTATTAAATATACTTTTAAGTTAAAATGCTAATGTGAAATATTATGTCTTATACTTTTCTTAATAAGTGAATCTCTTGCTTAAAATGATCATAATAGTATTTACTTATATTTTGTAATACAAATTAGTGATACTTTTGATAGCTTGATTTCAAATAATATCATGATAAATGTTAAATTTAAAACACTGCTTTATTACACAACTTAAGTAGATTTATAGCTATTCACCTAAATAGTGGTAAAAAAAAATCTGTACATCATACATTTTATGGGTATTTCAGAAACAAAAAATTAATCATTACAAGAACTAAGCAGATGTAATCAGTTGTTAAAACAAATGTCTACCAGTGGCACACTTAAGATTTAATCTTGAGGGAGCACAGTTGAATGGATAAAAGAATTTTTAATGTGAATTCAATAAAATTCCTTATGTGACTGCTAATTCATAAATAATTAAATAGAACACGTGACACAATATAAATAAAAAAATTAATTTTAATAAGGAAAATATATTTGGAAAATTTACTAGTGTTTCTTTTCCTTTTACTTATGGGAGTGCCAACACCACTGATGTCTACTGTAAACAAATTATTTTAAATCAAATTTTACTTATATAAAAATATAAAAAATGAAAAATCATACAGATCAAATAAGTATTCATACAGTTTTATTGGTGACTTATTTCATTTACAGATATAGATAATACCTAAACTAATACTGGTATGAAGTCCATTTGCATAAATTATGGCTTTAAGTCATCTAGGCATTGAATCTACAAGAATTTTTTGTAACATCCCTACTTAAGCAATTCCATGCATTTGTTAATGGTGAGTTTGAAGTACACTTGATTCTTTAGACTTGTTTGTCCAAAATTGTCCATAGATTTTTGACTGGATTTATGCCCCAGAGATTGGAAGGTGTTTTCAATAATCATAGTAACATTACTTTGCAACGTACTGTGTGCTTTTGATCATTGTGTTGTTGGAATATGTAGTTTGCCTTTATCCCCAACTTTGTATACTTGCTTTTAAATACATCACAATATCTCTACATACTTTAATTTAAATTACCTTTGTCAATTTCTATTTCTCTAGGTTCTGAATATGCCATGCACCCCACATCATAACATGTCCTCTCTGCTTCACTGTAGATTTCAGATTTCAGTTCTGTATTTGGCTTTTGCCACATATGGCAGTTCTTATCTGATCCAAATAAATTAAACTTGCTCTTGTCATTAAGTATTACTTATCTGTAAAACTCAATAGGCAAGAACAAATTATAATCATTTTTTTTATTTACATTATGTCTATAGGCTTCTTACTAGGAATTCTTCCTTTGTATCCAGCATCATGAGGCAGGTAAATTTTTAACCTGTGCAACACTAATAGGATAACAGTGTTATTCTGTTGATGTTACAAGAAGCTCTCTTACTTTAGGGCACTTATTTTAAGATTTTTCTCCACTTTTACAATTTATCACTTCTTTCTAAAAGACATTACTCTCCTATTACCAGAAAATTTTGCATTTTTAGTTGATCCTATTCATTTAAATTTTGATATGATAAACTGTATAGTAGAACAAGCTAATTTATCTTTGAAAATTCATACAAACAAATTGTTCATTTTCAAAACAGAAAATACCTTTATCTTTAATGCTTTGATCAACCTTGAAATCTGTTTGACTCATTTTCATAATAAACAAAACAATGGCATTATTTTTATAGCCAAAGAGATTGATTCATTACTGTGCATAATAGGGAGAAGGTGCAAGTTCAGATGTATGGTGTTATAAAATTATGAAACTTAATCTATAAACATTAAATTCTATGAATATATTTTGTTTGATCTGTATGATTTACATTTTTTGAGTTTTTTATAAGTAAAATTCAATTTAAAATAATTTGTCTACAGTAGACATACTGTATTTATTTAAACATCTATTCAACTTAGTTCTTGTAGATATCAATTTCTAATTTTCTTAAATACCCATAAAAAGTATGGTGTAATGAACATCTACTGTAGATGAAAATTTATAAATTACTTTGTCATAATGCTAGTTTGCTAGTATTCCTTCTAATGATGAGCTTGATTATCTGAAGATATGTGAGAAAGTGATACTTTAAATCGAAACTTTATTGTAGTTCATTGAGTTTATATAAGGAATTGTAGTTTTATTCATTATAATGACAACAAAAACTTGCCTCCTTGAAGTACACTTGAATAACAGTTTCTCAAATACTTTCTGGCAACTAGACAATGGACTTGATTTCCCAAAAATACTGAAAATTGTTAGTTAAGTTGAAATTCAATAAGGTTTTGTCATTATTTAAAGAATTTGAAGGTTTTTTTTATTATTCATTAGGTTATTTGATACTAATTCATACTATTTATATGATATAACATAAAAAAAGAACTATTGTTTGCCTATTTGTTTATATTTCTTGTATCATTCCATTCTACATCTATAAATCAATATTCTTTCAACTGATATTCAGATATTTTATGCTACAGACATATTAGTTATTCTATTAGAAATAATTGAAAATAGATGTTATAATACAGAAATTAGAAAATGCTTGATTATGATGACTCAATATAGCTAACAGTTATAAAAGTATTAGTGTGATATAGTTGTCACATTTCAAAAGTTAAAATTTTTCACTAAATCTATTAGTCTGTAGCATGAAAATAATATTGTTATTATTTTGCATGTATTTCCTACTTTTTCTCTTTAACTTCTGTGTTTGGGATTAGTTGACTTTTGTCTAGATACAAGGTCTGTTCAAAAAGTATCGGACCTTATTTTTTTCCGCGTAAACCAATGATGCGAGAGAGGCCTCCTTCGGTGGAGTTGTGGAGGGGACAGTCATGCACAGCCCTGAATTTTTTCCCGCCTGCAGAAAGCGTCAGTCGTTGGCAATCGGCGTATGAGTGAGGTCATGTAGTGCGCTCTCGTCGGATTTCACTAAGCTGGAAAATGACTGAACAACGTGAGCAGCGATATTACATCAAATTTTGCCAAAAACCTTGGCGATACCCGAGTGTAAACCATTCGCAAGATTCAGCAGGCTTTCGGGGACGATCCTCGAGGCCAAAAAAAGCGCGGCAGGTCCGCAGCAATATCAAAGGTCATGTTGACAGTTTTTTCGACTCTCGTGGGGTGGTGTGTCGTGAGTACGCACCACAAGGCCAAACCATCGCAAAGGAGTACTACCAGGAGGTCCTTCGTCGTCTTTCCGATACAGTGCGACGCAAACGACCGGATCTGTGGTCGATCAAAACTTGGCAGCTCCATCGTGATAACGCATCCGCCCATTCTGCGCATCTGATTCGGGCTTTCGTCGCCAAACACAATACTCCTGTGGTTCGTCACGCTCCGTACTCTCTCCACATGGCTCCGTGTGACCTTTGGCTATTTCTCAAGCTGAAAATGCCGCTAAAAGGAACCCAAATTTAGTCGAGAGAAGACATCATGCGAAATGCGACGGACCGGCTGATAACCATTCCAAAAGATGCGTTCCAGCAGTGTTTCCAGCAATGGCAGGAACGCTGGGAGAAGTGTATACATTACCAAGGAGACTACTTTGAAGGGGATTAGGGTTTTGTACCTCAAAGTCAATAAATTTATTTTTGCCGACCAAAGGTCCGATACTTTTTGAACAGACCTTGTATATCTTCTTAATGAAAACATATATGTAAGAAGAAAAGAAGAACACCTATTGGTGAAGAAGACGTATAGGAGAGAAATGAAAAAAAAAGAAAATTTTTTCTATTGATTGTCATTGAAAGAAAAAAAAACATGAGTAACTTAATGAGAGAAAGGACATCAGGAAGATGGAGGAATTTTTAGTAAGGAGCATCATGATTTCCTATGCTCTTTATTAAAATCCTGGGTCTTAACATAAACATAACATCAATTGGTGGGAATAGAAGTCAGTATTGGGTTGCTTGACTACTTGCACTAGAGTCAGTATTGAGATACTGACTCCAGTGCAAGTAGCCAAGCAACCCCATAAATTTTTCTTTCTTTTTGTCTTTGTTTATTATTCTACTATCTTATTTGGGTATNATTTATAAAATATTTGTTTCAGGTTTGATTCAGAAGGTTCTGAATTATCATTTACTCTATTTAACACAATCAATAATTTTCGAAGAGAAATCAAAGCTGTTACTGGAAGCAGACAAACTTGGATTAATAAATGGATAAGTTATAATGATATCCTTTATCGTGGAAATGATAAAAGATCTGAATACCATATGAATTTTCTTTGGGGAGAAAAAGAAACTTGTGACTATATTGATGTTAAGCATAAATTTGTTTCCTCCTATTTTAACTTTGATTCTGACTTTTTGTTTGAATGCAAACCAGAAACTAAAGCTTATCACTTAGAATTCAATGCAAATTCCAACTCTCCTGAATGGGATATGCTCAATGTGAATATTAAAAGTAAGTTTAATTACTCTATTAAATTTTTAAGCGTATTATTGATCTGTAGAAGCTTTAATAATATTATAAAGTCCAAATGAATTTTTAATTTATAAAAATATTTTGTCACAGTTTTGAAAGAACGTACCATATTGTTATCTGATTATTAATTAAATTAAATCTATATCATATTTAAACTAGTTAAATGAAGAGTTTAGTTTTAATATTTTGAATATCAAGACAAGACAATAAAAAACAACTGCCATATTGTTTTAGTAAATCATGAATTATGTATTCAGTTTTTTAATTTAGTAATAATAAATTTATTATATTTTTTATGTGCATATTTTTAATAATGTATTCTTATATTAGTTTTAGTGAAATATTCCTTGTATCATTTCAGTCGTACAAATCATCAAATTGAACATGGTATATATAAAGAGATTCCTGATAGGAAGTTTGAAAGAAAAGAGGAAACTCGCTGTACTTCTGAGAATTTTAATGAGCTGCTTGGTGTAAAATTTTGTCATTATAAAACATATCCAAAAATTCCTGATGAAATGAAACTATCAGTTTTTATGACTGGCAGAATTGAAGAGAAATTTATTGCTCAGCCATATGATAAGTAAAGATGTGTTAAATTATTAATTTCATTTAATGATGTTTTATTTTTAATATTAAAATGTAAAAGTAAAATGAATATAATTAAAATTTCTAATTTTTACAGTTCAAATAGGATTTGATAATACAGTATTTATATAATTTTATGAATTTTAATTAATAATAGAAAATATTAAATTAAAGTTTTCTTATTTATTTACTTTTTTGAATAAATTGTCAAATATTCAAGAATACAGTATAACAATGTATTATAATTATAATAGTCATTTAATATATTCTCATAATATTATATTTTTATTTCAGAGATTTGCAATATTATAAATTACAAATATTTAATCCACCTACAAATGATAGAAATATTTATGATTTCAAATTAAAATTCAAAGCTCAAGGTTAGTGTCATGTAATTTAGATCAGTGTTTTCCAAAGTTTTGACATCTGTGTACTCATCCTTAAATTTTCATAAGTACTAAGTTACTCTTTTTACTTAGTACAAACTCTTTTTTGACAAGGACTTGTCAAAAAAGAGTTTGTAAACTACCCAAATGTAGCAATTGAGTAGAAGAACTTGTATGATATATATAATTTATTGGAAAATATATACATTTTAAAACAATTAGTTACTAAAATATTTTTTTCTTAATGATGATTCTGTCAGTAGTATGTAGCTAAAAATTGCCATATACCCCAAGGATATACATGGGAAACACTTTGTGAAACACTGATTTAGATTATGAAATAATTATAATTAATAAAATTTTTTTCAGGCACAAAGTATACTAGGGAAACAAATGTTGATTTTAACTTTAATATGGAAACAAAAGAAGGCCAGTTTGAAGTAATCATACCAGAATTACCAGATTTGACAATATCTGCAAAACGTTCTATAATTAATGATGAAGATGAAGATGAAACTGGAATAAAGCATTATTGGATTTTACATTTCAGTAAAAATAAGAAATATGAAATGAATTATAATGTTAGTAATTTAAAATTTTTAATTTTGTTATATGAATAAATTTTTATGTATTTAAACATTTATATTAAAAAATTATTATTCTTGTAATGTTAATATATTAACAATCTTCAATAGTATAAAGTAATAAAATTATACAGAATTTCAGGACAGTATCAAATCTTTTACATTAAAAATTTCTTGATGCTATTAAGATTACAATTATATAAACAAATTAAACATTTAATTTTGTATTTTTAATTATTATTATTATTTTAGTTAAAAGAAAAGATAGAATCAAAAATAATACCAAAAGGAAGAGGGCATGCAACCAAAGAATTTATAGCTAAAATACGAGAAAGAACTATTGATTTGAGAACTCCTTATAACACTTACCAATGGATATCAAAAATGAATGTTCAAAATCATACAACAAAAGTGGAAGCACTTTTATCTATTGAAAAGTGAGATTATTTATTATAAATAGAATTCTTTGTTTTTATTATTGTTTGCATCTTGTAAATAATAATAACATATTGCATTCATATTTAAATAAAATAAAAATTAATTTTAAATTTTAGTTTGCAAGGCTACTGGAATTGGCCATCTAATATTCTACCCAGTACATTTTGGGAATCAGATAAAAAAGCTTGGATAAAGTTTGAAACAAATTTAGAGATGTCAAAGATTGGACATGGGCAAATGATTCATGACATTGTAAGTATAATTGAAACTCCCAAAAGAACTTTGCAAGTACTTACTCACAGAATTCAAATGCCTGGTCGTTATAAAATTAATACAAATTCAACTGTAACAGAAAAATTATCTGGCAACTGTTTAGTAAGTATAATAATGATTATGAATTTATACTTGAAAAAAATTAAAATAAATTCATAGTTTGTTAAATATTATTGTATTCTCAAAATAGACTTTTATGAATGTTTCATATAATGGCTGGAAAAGTGGAAACAGAGATCATCAAAGAGATATTCATACATTTGATATAGAAATTCCACAATATTCATGGAATATGCATTTTGAAAGAGATTCAAATGATTTTAAACACTTATGGACACTTACGTTATCAAGAATAAAGATGATTCCATTGAATGAAAATGGAGAATCTTGTGTGAGTATAGTTTTTTAAAATTTTACTTTCATATTAGACTTTTGGATAATTCTTTTTAATTAATGTAAAAAATTACTTTTTAAGATTGGAAGATGGGATTCATCACAAAATGATAATTTTGATATTCAGAAATGGGATGTCAAATTTGAAGGAAAAATGACACACAAGTTATTAGAAGATCAGTTATTACCAGAGAAATTTCGTCAAACTGATTATGTTCATGATAAAAATCAAAAGTTTCCTGGAATAGAAACACATATAGATGTTTCTTTAGACTTTCCTTTTGAAAGTGGAACTGAATCTTTAAATGCTAGGGGAGATATTTTAAGAGTATATAAAATGTTACCTACAGGTAGTGGTGTTCAATGGTATGAAAGATTCTTTTTAAAAAAAACACTTAATGCATATCTATAAATTTGAAGTATTATATTTTACATTAGAATTATTAAGAATTTATTGTAGACATTCAACAGTAATGTCTAGAATAATTGATTAAACATTTGATTATAATTTTAGAATTCAGAAAAGCAAGTAAAAGATGAACTTGACTTTTAGAAAAATTTAAGTAACTTAAACTCTAGATTTAGAAAATGTAATTCATTATTTTCTAAAATGAAATATACTTGGATTTTTATTAATTTGAATATTAAAGTTGATAAAATTCCAGATAAAAATGATACATCTTCATAAATAAAATAATTTACACTTATTTTTAGTGTAAATTATTTTATTTATGACAATGTAACATTTTTTTTGTTTTGTACATTATTTTCTATAAATATATATATTTTTTAATTTTTATAAATATATAATTTACTGTTATTCTACTATTCTTTAGTTAAATTCAATATGTCAGATAAAGATCATAATTTATTTGTTTTTTTGCTATTCTTTAATTTTCTACTACAAGATATTTTTATCAGTTTTTAGGAATTGAAAATAAGAATTAATAACAAATTTTAAAAGTTTTATATTACTACATTTAATAATCATCATTTAAAAGAATTTAAAATAAATAATCTGATTGATTGGCCAGTTAATTTAAAATAATTTGATGTAATTCAAAAATAACTACAGAATATTTTTATTGAAATTATACAAATATTTTAGACTAGTAATATGTATGCTTAATAATCTAAGTTAAAGAAAATATTTAGTGAAATTTAGAAAATATTAAAAGAAATTTTTGACAAGTTAGCATTATTAATTTTGAGAATCACAACTCAAAATTTTTATATATGTCTGTGAATCTGTTAAAAATAATAAGCAATTGTAATTGAAACATTTTATAAGAAAAAAGAAAAATTAGATATTTAGAAAATGGCTGTTCTTTTCAAAAGTTGACTTGCGAGAACTTGTATTTTGAAATTTTATACGAAAATCTGAATGTAAAGATATGAGTTTTTGTATCTAAGAATTTTCTGTTGAACAACAGAACTCTGATACTAAATATGTGAAACATATTGAAAATGACAAAAATTAATGATCAGAATAGATTATAACTGGCATTAATAAAGGTGATCTAGCCATTGTGGTTACTCAACTTAATTTATTCACCTTGTAAGTTAATTGAATTCAAGGGTTGGATATCACGTCAATCTTTTGTTTAAGCGTGAAAGGAAGAAATTATAACAAAGGTGTTAATTACATATAAATATTGCTATATTTGCAAGTGCTTTCAACATATTATAAGGCGTCATCCTCAGGCAGAACACAAACTCAAATAAATCTTTCGAACAAACATTTTGAATTAAGACTAATAGCATTAGTTCTTTAGAACAAACCAAATTTAGAATAAAAACATAAAGAATTTGAATTAATGGTGCGTGCATGATGACAATGCACATGCACCATGATGTGTTGAATAAGCCCTGAGAGTGGAGCTAGAGACGATGTTTTAATCTTTTATACAGGCTGACCCACATTGCAGGCAACTCAAGCATGGGGGAGTTGCATGGATTTGATAATACAGTAAGGAAGGCCTCCCAAACATATACCAGGCTCCTCTGATCACAATACCTGAGCATTGCCACATGGTCCCACAGTTGGGTATGTTATTGTTGTAACACCATCCTAGCTAGCTCAGTGTCACACCTGCCTGTCCTGATGGAATGTTGATGTTCAGAGATGTGGCAAGATAACATTCTAGTTGTTGCTCCTATGTAGTGGGTGCAAATGCCAGATATGTTTTCTAATGGGATAGAATATACCCCAGACTTCTATAGTATGGAGGCAACATCCCTGTTATTGCATAGAAGCCTCCTGAGACTTGGTCATGGAGTGATTGGTAGAAATAACATGTGTTGTCTAAAAATGCAGCAATGCAGGCAGTGATGCGACGACGCCTTATAATACGTCGAAAGCACATGCAAATATAGTGATATTTATACATAATTAACATCTTTGCGATAATTTCTTCCTTTCTTGATTAATTTATTCACCTTTAACAGTAGTAAAATTTGAATAACAAATGTTTCAGCCTAGTTAATGAGTTATCCTCAAGTGTGGACTGTTGAACAAGACATCCTTAAGCATGGATCTTCATGCTTAAGGATGGCCAAAAAAATCTGTGTTATTTAAATTTCACCATTGTTAAAGATGGACTAATTAAACTGTATAATTGGCAATGTGAAATGTATTTACAAATGTTATATATAAATTTCAATCCAACCAATGGATCAAAGTATAAGAGAACAAAATGTCAAAATCAAAAACTAGAAATATGCAAATAATTTATTATGAAGTTATTTCTGTTAATCAAATAATCAGGAGATGTATTTGAATATAATGAAGTAATTTAGTGATTCTATGCAATAAAAAATATTAGAAAAATTTAAGAGAATTGAATGGAATAATTTATTTTATCAGTAATACAATAAAAGAATGTCCAATGTGTAACTTATTCTATAAAATATAAAACTTCTAAAGTTGAGGAGAAAATATTAATGATAAAATGGAAAAATTGTTTAGAATGACATACGGTATCTAAATCTTGTCTAAATTAAACAAAATAAATAAATAACATTAATTATACAGTTTGATTTATTATTTTGGTTTTTACATCAGTTTTTGAGTTTTAAAAATTTGGAAATTTGTTAAAAGTTATAATTTATTTTTAAAAATTGTTTTATTGGAATTAACTTATTTTTTAATAAAGTTAACTATATTAAATTATAAATAGATTTTTGAATAAATAAAATATTTAGTAAATTTTTTATTTTTGTAAATGAAATATTGATATTAATAATTATTATTGTTAGAAAAAATAAAAATTAAAGAATTTTGAAAAATTTGGTTGTGTTTATATAAAATAAATAAATTGTTAGTTTTTAATTCTTTATTTAAATTTATGTTAATGACAATTTTTTATTTAGCATTTAATTAGTTGATATATAAATATTTTACAAGTTATTATTATTTTTTTTTTCTTTACAATATATAAATTAAAATCTATAAAATATTTTAATTTAATAAATTTTGGATATTAAATGTATTGTTTTAGATGAATTTTTTTATTAGGTCAGATTTAATTTTATATACTCATTTATATAAAATATTTTATATAAACTATTTAAAATAAATTTTTAAATAGTTAATTTATAAAATATTTGTTTCAGGTTTGATTCAGAAGGTTCTGAATTATCATTTACTCTATTTAACACAATCAATAATTTTCGAAGAGAAATCAAAGCTGTTACTGGAAGCAGACAAACTTGGATTAATAAATGGATAAGTTATAATGATATCCTTTATCGTGGAAATGATAAAAGATCTGAATACCATATGAATTTTCTTTGGGGAGAAAAAGAAACTTGTGACTATATTGATGTTAAGCATAAATTTGTTTCCTCCTATTTTAACTTTGATTCTGACTTTTTGTTTGAATGCAAACCAGAAACTAAAGCTTATCACTTAGAATTCAATGCAAATTCCAACTCTCCTGAATGGGATATGCTCAATGTGAATATTAAAAGTAAGTTTAATTACTCTATTAAATTTTTAAGCATATTATTGATCTGTAGAAGCTTTAATAATATTATAAAGTCCAAATGAATTTTTAATTTATAAAAATATTTTGTCACAGTTTTGAAAGAACGTACCATATTGTTATCTGATTATTAATTAAATTAAATCTATATCATATTTAAACTAGTTAAATGAAGAGTTTAGTTTTAATATTTTGAATATCAAGACAAGACAATAAAAAACAACTGCCATATTGTTTTAGTAAATCACTACCAATGTGCAATAAACTAGTTAAAATTTATAATTTATTTAATACATCTATTTAACATCTACATCATTATACATTAGATTAAGAAAATGATAAACTTTATCAAATCATCATTAATATGTTTCAATAATATACAATAGTAAAGCATATTACTAAAAATAACATATGATAATTGGATAATAATTAACATATTTTAACAAAATTTAAAAAGTTAGGTAAATGCTTATATTTAAGCATTGTATTATATAATATATTATAAAATATAATTATAAATAAATAGATATCTTTGGAATATTTTAAATATATATGTATATAATTTTTTTAAAATATCCTTTTAAATATTCTAAAAATACTTATTTATTTCTAATTATATTTTATAACTCTCTTTGTAAAAATAAAAGAACAATCCTCATATCCTCATAATTCAAAAAATTATTACTTTCTATAAAATTTTAAAGCTCTATATACATATATAAAAGCTTAATAGCATTATATATATAATGTTTGTACAATGAATATGAGAAGTCTGAATGAATGTGTTTTCTCATCATAATATTTCTTACTAAAAATCATTTTATTTTTAGAATTATTTCATATGGAACGTAATTCAGAAGGTTGGGACTCATTTAATTTTAATCATCCAAATCTTAGAATAGATGCTGAAGGAAAATCTGGGATAAACTCTGAAGGATTTTATTATGATAAAAAATACAGCATAAGGAGTCAGGTAATTCTAAATACAAAATTTTTAAAATATTATAATTATTTATAATATAAATTGATTTTCTTTTTATTTTGTTATGTATTTTTAGACTGATATCATTCCAAATGCAGAGATAAAATATCATTATAAACTTCTAACAGCTTCTCGTTACATAGAATTATCAATTGAATCCCCAGAAGAAGGACTTAGATCTGCAAATTGGATTGTGGATATATCTGGAGATAAAAAAAAATTTTCACTTACTGGAACGCACATGCTCATGGTAAAAATTTTATATTTTAATATTTAGAAAGATGATGATTTTGGTGAACTTTACAAGGTAAAGATTTCTTAAAAAGCAGTCAAATTGTTTTATTTATAGCAAATAAATGCATTAAAGAAACAGTACATTTTTAATCTTATTGGCCCATGTTTAGAAGTAGGCTATTAAAAGAAAAAAAAAATTAAAAATCTAAGTAATCACCATAGACTTATATTTTGTTGTTGCTATGACACTCAAACAGCTTTTTATTAAATGATAAAAATAAAAATATTTTGTACAGAAATATTGAAATATAATAATAAAAGTGTAAAAAATTATTAAAAGAATTCCAGAAAACTAAATCAAAAAGTAGTGTTTGATCATTAATCTTAAAAATAATTTATAATTATCATAAATACACATTAAACATAATGTTTGTTTTAAAATGTACTAAAGTTTTATAAGAAATAACAAGTTTTTAAATTCATTTCAGACAGAATTTAAAAACAAAAAGCTTTTTTGTTTTTAAACAAACAATCCCTCAAAACAAAAAGTTTAAAGAAAACTAATGACTTTATTAGTTTTCTTATATAGTTATACACCAGTAATGAATAAAAGTTCAATTTCTTAAATTATATAAATTCAATATCTTTTCTTTTTGGACTTCTGGTGATTAGCATATGTGTTGTATTTTCGTGTAACCGTGAATGAATCAAGAAAAATGGAGGGATTAATCAATGAGAACGCTTATTGCTTACACACATCCGACTTGGAATTTTTATACAAAAAAAAAACACAGGTGGCGCTCAACTTAAGCGCAGCCTACAAAAATATGATTAATCTTAACAATATGTTTAGCTAAATGGTTTCATGATAGGAAGAGGTGGGCTTCTTTAACAAGTGTGTGAAAATATTTAAGATTTTTTTCAATAACTTTCCCTAAAGATGAAGTAATGAATTTGAAACATTAGGTTTCTTTTTTGTTATGTTTGTTCCAATAAAGCAGTTTGTTGTTTTTCATATTTATAAATTTAATTAAATAATCCAGATCTACATCATATCTGTCCTTTATGGTTTGTGCATTTAGGGCATGATAATCACCCATGGATCGCCAATCTGAACTGTTTTTTTTGGTAACCATGTGGAGCAGCGATGTGTAATTGCTTTTAAATGTTTGCATATGGCTGAGAGTTATCATCTTGTTGAATTTGGCCTTGGTGATTTTAAGCCTGTCAGGTATTAGGAATGGTTTCACAGTTATGGGTGGACTGCTGGTTTTTATATGATGTACAATGTTGTGTTTCATAGGTTGATTAGGACATGGTGGTTTGGTGATCTCAGGAAATTCTTCCAATATCTTATGAAATATGGAGTTGCCAGTTGTTACTTTATTGGAAAGGATGAAGGTTTTCTAATAATTTGCCTGGAGAGTTTACCTGTGTCCGAACATCTGTGAGACACTTGTGTCTAAGATTTGGTACCAGAGGGAAATGATACAAGATATTGGTACCTATTATTGCCATTGACATGTTGCCAATAAGGAATTTCCAGAGAAAAATTTTTTTAACCCAAAATTGAGAGTGAGTGTTTGCTAATTGTAGACATGAATTGCAGTTGTGCTTGCTGTCATCAAGGTCATTTGAGGTGTGCATTTCTTTTGTAATGAAGAGGCTGGAAAGATTGATATGTTGGAACTTGATGAGAAAGTTAATGTTCGTTCTCTTGTCTAGTATGAACAGGCAATGAGATTGTTCTGGCAAAGTGCATGTTGTCTCTTGTTTCACCACTCTTGTTTGTTGAAAAGCTACATGGTGGAGTACATTTTTGTGCCTTTGTGCTGAAACATTTGTGGTATCAGCAATAGTTGTTGATACTATGGCAGGTTGAACTGTTGCGGGAGAGTCAAGGGAAATGGACACTGTGATCCAGATGTGCCTGCATTAGTTTATTGATTCACTTGTTGAGTTTGTCTATTTCAACTAGTATTTTGCTGGTTATGGTATTGGATTTCTTTGGTTGTGATACTGAAGCTATTGTTGCTGGGGTTACTTCCATCATGCGGTCTGCTACTTCTGCTGCTTTGTCTACATTGAGTGAAGTAGTGGCAGCTAGGATAGACTGGATGGAAGTTGGAAGGTGTTGTATGACTAATTCTAGCATAACTGCATCCAAAATTTGAAAATTTGCTGCCTGACAGCCAAAACATGTAGTAGTTTGGAGGATTTGTGATCTCATAGCTATTCTCATACCAATAGTTTTCATATCACCTGTTGAGATGATTTTCCAGATCATTTGATAAGTTCCACCTTTATGTGACTGTACAGGTTCGTACAGTCTGGAGGGATGATAATGTCTCTAACCATTGATACAACTTCTGGTGGTAAATGAGACACAACATAGTTGAACTTTGTGGCACTTTCCATGATTGGCTTTGGGGATACAAATGCAAATGTGCTTTCACACATGTAAAACCATAAGACTGGGTCAGGAAAATTGTATGGAGGGTTTTTTACTGCATCAGTCTTGGCCATGATCCAACGACTGAGGTGTTTTGAGGAAAGAGGAACAACATACCTGATGAAGATTCTCAAAAGGTGGATTTTGTTCTTCTTCTTAGTTGAATTACGTTTCTAGTCCGGCTCACCAAATGTAGTGGTTCTACTACTGTTGTCTTATTTTTGTCAATATTCATGATAGAATGAATGACACAAAGGTTATAACACAACTGCTAAGTTTATTGTCTTCATTGCAAAATCTATACATTAGTCTGGTTGTCATGGCTAACAACTAACAACTACTAATGATGCTCACTGGATGTGTTTGGACTTGTTTTTGGAACTGATAATGCATACCACCTGAGGTTTGTTGCTTGTTGTCACAACAGTTCAGATGTGGAAGGTAGCATTTGCTACAAGATAAATAAATATCTATATATAAATTTATTGCATAATAGCTTGTTTTTCTTTTTCCTCCTTTATCTTTAAGTAAAACTTTTATAGTTCTTTTAGAATGATTGATGTGGGATAATATTTCAAAAAGAATCATCTGATTTAAAATGATTATATTATGAAATGTAATAAAGATACATACTTAAGATTAATTTTATATTACAAGGCTAATCTCCAAGTTTTTTACATACTAAATCATAGGTGTTCAATAACCCTTTAGATGTTTAGTATATGTCCAAATGGTAGTGAAATTCGTCCTAAATTTTTGCAAGCATGTCTGGATCCACTGCTGTCACCACTGCTGTTTTGTGGTTTTGCAGTTCGACCACTGTAGCTGGAAGAGGAGGGACATAAACAGAGTCTTTTATCCCCCATGAGAAAAAATCACAAACCACGAGGTCCGGTGACCTAGGAAGCCAGTTATGTAAAACTGAATCATTAGGTCCCATACATTTGATCCATTGTTGGGGAATCTGTGTGTTAAAAAATTCTTGAACTTCCAGGCTCCAGTGTGGTGGTGCCCTGTCCTACTGGAAAATGAAGTCATCTGAATCAGTGCTTAACTGTGAGAAAAGCCAGTTTTCAAGCATATCAAGATATATGATTCCCGAAAATATGGAAGTGACAGGTGAACAAAGCATGTGGTGCTTCCAATCAGTAATTGCGTAAAACTCGAGAATTTCCTCTTTCTAACAGTACATTGTTTGATCGAAATAGATTAAAAGGTGAATAGTTATGAATTTTTAAATTGGATGATTCTTTTTGAAACACCCTGTAGCCCTGTATTATCCCGCATCAATCACTCTACTCACAATAGAGGATGCTGAATTGAGATTCTGACTTTGCATATTAAAAATAAAAGCTCTCCATATTTAAAAGTTAAATCCAAAATTGAAAATCAAAAAAGTTAAAAAGTTTTGTACACAAACTAACATTCGGGTATGAAACAAAACCAATTTCACAAATAGCTTCTATTAATATACCGTACTTATGTAATAGGATAATAAAATACAGTACTGTACTGTAATATTGTAATCATGCTAAAAGACAGACAGATTTTTGTATTTTCCTGGATAATTCTTGTGATTATTTACATAGCAGTTAAATGTAATCTATTTTGTTGTACATATTGGGCTTATTTTCTGATAAAACCACTTAAAGCCACTTTGTTAAAAGATGGTTAAGCTATTTCTGTTTTAAGTTAGCCACTGCACACTACTAGTACAGTGAGATGCTGAGTGCTGAAAACTGAAGTTAAGATGGTTGCCATCATAAATTATATGCATATTATGTATTTAAAATGAAGAGTGTGATATATGAAAATCTATTTTAAACTTGTATTTTAATTTAGAGTAAAGTTTTGTTTTTAATTTTAAATGAATAATTTAAAATTTTATTTTTTATTGACTGTAAATTTGCTAAACAGTTGAAGCAATCACATTTTGATAACTTTAGATATTTTGGATTGCCATTGAAAATAGTTAAAATTACTAAAATACAATAGCCTATTAAAATGTAATCATTATAAAATTGATTCTATTAGGAAAACTTATAAGCATAAAAATTATTATTATTTGTGATTGTTTACTTTGCTGTTTATAAAAAACAATTTGTATCTAAATCACATACATATTCTTTTTATTTTTACAATACAAATTATTATTATTTACAGAGAAATCCTGAAAAAGTGTATAATCGTGGGAAAATTTTACTGAAATTAGTAACTCCATTCAAGATATCAACAAAAGGCCATGTAGATTTAAAATCATTGTATAAGTTTGGAAGATGGCTTCATTCTAAAATAGAAATACTGAAAACTAGAATTCATTCAGTTAAAAGAGATCGTAATCATCCTATTAAACAAATTATGAAATCTCTTAGAAAAATTACAAGAAGAGAGGTAATTTAAATTAGTGTAATTTTTATATTTTAAAAACATTCTCCAGACAGCCAATTTACAACATTAACAAAAAAAGTGTTATATAGAATTTAAAAAATATTATATATTATGTACTATTTAATGTGTTTTAATTAATAGAATACTTAGTAATAATTGATGTAAAGCGTTTTTTAATACAGCATATAGATGAGCAAGTTATAAATATTTATATGTTTTTTAAAACAAATGCAGAAATTTATAGAATCAAACTAAGATTTTGTTTGTAATTGATTCAATTCCATAAATTACAGTTCAGGCACTATTTAAATGAAGAATTCTAGAAATTAAGGAAAAATTTGCAAGAAATGTTATGAGTTCTGAAAAGTGATTAAACGGAAAGAAATGAGAAAGGATTTGGGGTTGAAACATCTGAAAATTATTGGAAAGAGCAATGAATAATCAGGAAACATACAGATAAACCATCATGAATTTATCTTGACCATAAATGGCTCTTCAAATTTGGTGTTTGAAGAGCCACTTAGGGTCACAGTCTTTTCTATAATTACATCTAATGAAGAGCTGATGTAAATAAAATGGAAGAAACAGAATATTTGAGATGTCTTCTACACTGCATGATGACAAGTGTTCAATGATGTAGAACAGTGGTGTCCAAATGTCTCCTGGCCAAATCCAGCCCTCAATACACATTAACCCAGCTTGTAAAAATTTTTGACACATCAATTATGATAGAAATAGACCTACTTTTTGTATATTTGGAATATACAAAATATTTGTGGCTTACCTATCTACAGTTTGGCTAGCCAGTCAAAAAGTTTGAGAACCACTGATGTAGGGTATATGGTACTGTAGTATGGGTTATGAAAAGCTTTTTATTACCATTCTAGCAATTTATGAAGGTTATATGAGGCCTCAAGCTTTAATGAAATTGCATAAAATTATGGTAAATAATGTTATTAAAGCTACCAATTTTTGAAATATAAATTTTGTTATTTTACAGGAAGAATATTTTAAAAGAATGTATAGTCAGGCTGAAGAAAATTTGAAAGAAATTCGACATCTTCTCAATCCATTTGTAGAACCTACTGTTGAAATGCTTTATAATATCAAAGAAATAATTATTGTTAATGCACATCACTTATTTTATAACTATGAAGCATATACAGTAGGAGGTAAATATTTTTCATAAAGTTTCTTTCTTATAATATAAAAAAATTTAATTAAAACTTATAGTTTTTCTCAAATATAACAATCTATCATTAATATTTTCAATAATAATTATTTGTTTTGATGATATGAAACCGTGCTTTACAATTTGTTTATGCTTCTAACACAATAAAGTGCTATAAATTAAGACACTTGGCGGGTTTTCTCATCTTTATTTAGTTGATACGTGTGAACATTTTACACGTTTCGGGCTCTTAAGCCCCTCTTCAGCCAACTAAAACATTAAAAAAGAATATAACATACATATAAAAAACACAAGTTTTGTAGAATTCATAAAAATCTAAAACATACCATGTATATAAGTCTTATAGACTGAAGTAACAGCTTACTTCCGTTTCAGTAACAGTTACTCGCGATATTTTCCAGTAACGTCAGCTTATTCATAAATAACTATAATATTAGGGAAGTATATGACACATATATACAAAAGTATACATAAGAATCTATAAAACTATCTTCCATTAAGGCATACCTTGATTAAGGTTGTTATTAAAACTGTAT